TCCCAGCATGCACGGACATGGTTCTTCCTTAGAAGAAGCCTATGAGTTATGAACGAGACAAAACTCCCAAACCAGATTCCAAAAAAACAAAACAAATGAGGGTAGCAAACATGGGAGAATGCAGCCCCCCCCACCATGACTAAAAAACCCTCTGAACTTGAAACCCTCTTGCCCTGTTTTATGAATGAGCTCAGGCTGAAAGCATGTCCTTTACATTAACTCAATGAAAACAGGGCTAGCACATTTCCCTTCCTTATTGATCTGATGAATGACCAGGTATGAAAATAAAATGCCTCTGAATACAAAGTTGACATTCATGCCAGTACAGCAGAAGGCCTGTGAGCAAGGCACACATCAAACAATGGGTCCCAGATAAGATTACTGAAGCTTGATACAGGGCGTTATCAGAAGAGACAAAGAAAAACCATCATAATGTGGTCCTCTATGGTCGGAGTCATTCCTGCTATTGGTACAAATCAAGTAAACAGATTCTAAGGAGAGCAACATCAAGCTTTACTATTTATACTGCTAAACATTACTAATCGAGACAGGAATCGTCACTGGTTCTGGAATGTTTTTCCTGACAGTTGTGTATTGCAAAACAGTGACAAATTCAATGCGTCTACGCAGCTGGAAACTTACAAAAATAAGGAGTCATGAAGGAGGGGAAGGAATGATCCAAAGCATGGCTTTATTTCATGAAGAGAGACAACAACAGTGTAATTATTTATAATCAAGTAAGGGTGGAAACTATGGTAATATGCTCAAACATCTTTCTACCCGACATGGGCTTAAATTCCAGGAATGCCATGCCATGAGCACCACTGCTCCCCAACGGAGTGACCTGTTACACAGAGGGTAAATATCCTGTTATAAAAACATTAGGTCCACACAGGCAGGTTTAGCAGAATTTCAGTAATCAAAAAGGGAATTGAAGTCAAAAATAATGTCAAAAGATATGATTCCCATCCCTAACTACTAATTCACCACATTGCTCAACATACATATGAAAGGCCTCTGATCTGCAGGCACTGGAGCTGCCAGACAACAACTTGTGGGAATGAACACTGTTTTATCAGCGGGCTCAACTACTCCAGCTATCAGGCCTTCCTCACTTTAATAAAATCTGGCTTACTAACACCAGACTTCTCCAATAAACTACCTAATAAATAGCACAACAATGCCCTCTCTGCAGCAGTAGTGCTCGTGTTGTTTCAGATTAATTCTGTTTTAAAGCAGCTTGCGAATGATGGCCCATTTGCCCTGGCGGACACACTCCCTCTGGAGCCCACTTGACTGCTTATGCATCTTCACGGGGGTCCTTCTCCACTTCCTCTATATTTAGTCTGCTTAAACCGAGTCAACAAAACATGTCAACGTCTCGGACAGGAAGATGCCAACTGAACCCAAACACATTAGTCGGGCAGGTTCAGAGATATGGCCGAGGACAGTGTGTTAAACTTATCTGGATCCCCCTCATGTCTAAGGATAGTGGTGTGTTGCCTACATTCATTCTCCTGAGACTTTTCCTCCTATTTCTTGTCTGTATGTGTGTGTCTGCTGGGATCTGACATCTCATCATACAGCTGCAAACAAGAAGAATGTGGCCTCAGCATTAGTACGTTCAGAAGTGGCTAACAGTGGTTTTAGAAGCAGCAGTTGGTAGACCAAGCAAGCAGTATCGATAGTCACTGCTGTAGTTTTACAGAGGTAATAGTAGAAGTAATAATAATAACAATAATAATAAAATACAATTAAGTTATACTAGCAGCAGCAGATTGCTCAGAAATGGAGGCAGTAGTAAGAGAAACCGTAAGAGTGGCAGCTGTCGGGCCAACACTGTTAATAGAAGTACTACTAGCTATTCGGCATTAGTTGTTGGCTATTTAAAGTGTAACTGCAACCCACAATTCTGCTAGCTCCCTGCAAAGGACAGGCAGTGTAGCGGGCGTGGCCCCGACACCAACGGCGGTGAGTGACAGACTGGCCACCGTTCAATGTGGAGCAGCGAGCTGGTAGTCAGAGCTAACCAGTCATGAGCAGCTACTGTCAGACACTGCGTCCACGTTGGAAACACAGTCCACTGGAGCATTTACAGTCACTAGAGGCACATTCATGGCCTTTTGTAGAGGTTTCTGTGCGGTACCTGTGTTGTAGCGAAGCTACCGGCTCATGTATCTATGTGTGCTGAGGGTTCATAGCATAACCCCTTCAGACCCTGTGTCTATTACAATGGACGTCACTTGACAGGGGCTTCTTTTTTACTTTTTGCAACATTTAACAGACAAAAAATAGGTATGATGTTGTCATATGATGTTGGTATTTTAAGAATTGTTTGGACCCGATGTCCATTGAAATGGACAAGAAAAATAACAATTAAAGGGTTTTGATTAAAAAAAATTTTTTTATTGATTCTCATTTCTGGTTGCATTAAGGATGGGAAAAAGTCATTATTATATTTTTCACAACCTTGGAACATAAGGCGGGTCTGAAGGGGCTACACCCCTGTGAATGATATACTGGATGAACTGGTATACAAGTTTTAATTTCCCGTATGATAGGAATTTTTCATATACCGCAATACCGGTGCATTGCTGACACAACTGCTCTAACTCTTCAAAAGGCAATAATATTGTTTTTACCACAAACAGCACTACGGTCGGGACAAACTGTGTAGTGTGTATTGAGAGGGGAGCTCCATTTCCTGCGTACCCTTCTTACTAACAGTTTTACCTTTATAATACAACATAAGCCAGAACTCTCTTTAACACCATGGCAGACAACAATTTGAGGCAATGTGTTTCTGATTTGTACAAAAAAAACCATCTGAAAAATAACTCTTTGAATACTTAAATACTTTGAGTATTTTATTTTTGTGTTTATACAACTATTTTAAAATATGTTGTTTTGAAAAAGAAGCCATGTTAAAGTTGCCAGCATATATATATATATATTTAAGGCACAGTGAGAAACATTTTTTAGGATTTATTGACATAAATAGAATATAATATTGTCAGGTATGTTTTAATTTATAATTAGTGTATTTGTGTAAAATAAGAACTGTTGTGTTTTTGTTGCCTTAGAATAAGTCAAAATTAACACCAGCACTGATTTGTTTCATTACAGTACAGTGATCATTTAGTGTGTACTACCTCTTTAAAAAGAACATCCAAATCTATTTCCTATCCTTCATAGCCCCGACCATCTGAAAAACATGTTTTAGTCTCGTCTCAACAGAATGGAGACCAAAAGATGGCCTTTTATCAGCACCATTACACCTTGACCTCCTTATCACTGACAGCTCGTAGACGTGGTTTTTATAGACAAAATGCCTTAATGTCAATATTTCATCATTTTCACCAATATTATCATCACAACAGTCAAATAACCTCACAAACTGTACACCGGTATTCTACTGACACCTCAGGGCCAGGACATGACATCTTAATATTGTGGCTTAAAAGTTAAGTAAAATCCCATATAATAATACCTAGTCTCACACAATATAAAAGTTATATTGATGAACTTTATCTCCAAGTTCTGTGTGCCTGTAATGTTACAATGTAGGTACTGCAGTTTATTTGACTGATAATATAAACAGACACTTGGAGTCACATTGATCACAAATGTTTAAAAATGGAATATCTATTAGGGAGTTCTGTGTCAAAGCAACACAGCTGTTGGTTGTTGTTACTGATGGTGCGGCAGGAAGGAAGATGTGAAGACATAATTGTAGATACGGCTTACAGCGGTCACCATTCATATTACTGATGATGATTATGGTTAAATTATCAGGCTTGATATTGTCTTATTGAATTAGATTTTACATGAGCCCAAAGCCCGCTGGTACCAACACAGACAAAGCGGAGGTATTGATTTTAATGTCCACTTTAAAGTGTTTTCTTGCCGACAAGAGAAATGATAAACACCACAGAGTTCTGCTCCTCCACCTGACACCCCCTCCATCCATCCAACATGACTTCCTCCAACATATTCCACCTCCTGCTTGCTTTTCCAACATGCCCACACTCTGCCACTCCAACAACCCACAAAGCAGGCCAGGCATACGTGTGTATGTCAGAAATATTTTCATCTCTGTAATAAGTCTGTTTATGTTTGTGCGTGCCTGCATCTCTGTCTGTGCTGTGTGTGTCTATGTGTGTATGTACATGCGTGCAATCCAGGCCAGTCCTGCGACAGTTCCATGTCACAAGACTGAAAACATCAACATGCTGAGTCTGCAGCAAGGCGCCAGTCACCAGGGAAACAATTCAGCCAGACACACACACTCAGTCAGCCAAAACACATCGTCTGAAACGCACCAGCAAAACAAGTCATCTAAAAAGCTGCAGTCGTAAACACAAAATTAAAGGGCGAGTTCACACTCATCGCGCTTGGAGTAATTTAATTAAACTCTGGAGCATTTACTCCTTTAATTCAGTTTGTTTAGGCAGATAAGAGCATTTGAACTGAACTTTCGTGGCATCAAAAGACACCTGAATACGTGAGCTACTGCCTCTTCTGCGAGAAATGCAGTAGGCTGCGTTAGTACAGGTAAACACACTAAAATACAAGGCTTTTTGTAAATAAAGGTTGACATCTGACAGGCAGTAGTTGCTCACATTCAGAAATCCTCTCTCGAGAACGACATGGGCTGAGGCAAAATTGCAGTCTTAACGGATACCTCTGTTGAGCTCTTCCTTCATCTTTCCTTAACTTGGATAAACACCTGAGATATATTACAGCAAAGATCTGCAGACAAGTCAATCATGCATAACAACACCCCCACCCCCGCCACCGCTTTCATCCTTCCTCGCAGCCAAAACACAACAGCTAAAGCAGTTAAAGTGACAGGTAGCAGGCCACAGCTGTAGGCACAGAGCCGTTCATTACACTCCCAAATTCACATCTACACAAATCAGGCCAAAGGCTCGACTGTCTGCATGATCTATTTGCAATTCAAATCCCTGATGAGCTATCATGTGTGACAGTCAGCTTACCTTTCTGGCAGTGATTGGAATTCCAGCAGCGGTAGTTGTAGTTGTTGTTGAACATGGTCTTTCTGCATTGAGGGCTGTTCTCCATGATGCCTGGACAAACGTCGCTGCACTCCTTTGACTGCTTGTTGCCAGCGATGTAATTGTTGAACTCCGCGTCCATGATGAGGGACCAGTCTATGGAGTCCAGGTAGCAGAGCTCAGGGTTCTTCTCAATGCGGATGGCGCCGCGGGTGATGTTCCTCAGGTTGTACAGGCCAATGTCCTTCAGGCTGGTCATTTCAAAGATCACGAGGGCGTAGTTGTAGAAAAGGTTTCGTCCACGTATGACTGTGAGGTTGGGAAAGAGCGCACTCAGGCTGTCCAGGCCGGATACCCTGAATAGCAGCAGGTAGTCTGTGATCATGGTCAGCTTGGGGAAGCTGAGGGAGCGGAACCCTTCCTGGTTGACGTTGTTGTTTTTGTCACCGATGAGGAGGATCTGCAAGTAGCCCTCCACCACAGTGCAGTTCTCTAGACGTCTGAATTCACCGATGTCGTTGCCAATGTCGATGCTGGGACCACAGACTGCGGGGGGGGCAAAGGGACAGGGTTAGGACACCTCATTTACGCCATTCTTATTTATTTGCTTTATTCCTTTATTTGATGATCTCCACAGGGATTGTTTCAGAATCATCATATGAGGTCTTGGTTCAATCAAATAGTCCTGCCTTTTCTTTTAAAGCTAAGCAGCAAAACAATTACATGAGAACACGTTCTTACAGATGATCTGGATATTTCTTAATTTATCTACACACTCTTTGCAATAAACTGTTAAATGCAACAATATATAAAATCTATGTTGTCCATTCCTAAAATAGTGATATTTGTAGAGGAGATGTTTATCCAATACATATTTTAAATATTGACAGTACACTTGAGTTGTGCTGTTGTTGACAGAACATGTTTGCCTTGCAGTTCTCATTTTCAATGCCAACTTAACATGGTGTGACAAAGTAAATACTTGAGTAAGGTTCTATTCAAGCTTAGGTTAATAGTGCAATAAAGTTTATATTGCTCTGCCTTCAGGCTATTGTTGCGCTTGTGTCCACTTAATGACCCAAGGTTTCTTGTTTCTGCTTTTATCAAGCTTTCATGACACAAAGACATCAAAAGGCATGGAAACTATTCACCTATACAAGACACTACCCATAAACCATGTTCACTCAGTCATTTGATCAAATACAATATGTGTGATAAAACCACATGTCAAACAAAGGACAAAATGAATCATGGAGGAATTTTATAACTACTATGGTCTACAGACAAGGTAGCAGCGTTGTGCTAAATCTCACCATGCTAATGTTTAGCAAGTATAGTATTCACTATCTTATTTTAGCTTTTTAGCATTTGCTAATTAACACTTAATACAGCTGAAGCCAATGGGAATGGGAATAGCTTTGCACATTTTTAGTCAGAAACCAAAGTATTAAACACCTTATGACAGAAGAAATCACCAGTTATTAAAATGCATCCATGAATCTCTGGTGTAAATTCTATGATAACCCATCCAATAGCTGTGAAAACATTTCACTCAAAACCACAAATGTCAACCTCATGCTGCTAAGAGGAAACGTCAGTTGGATCACCAGAGATGTGTCGCCTGGGAACCATGAAACGGGAGTAACAAATTTTGTGCCAATCCTTCAAGTAGATGTTAGATGTTAGTAGATGATATTTCACAGGATGAGAGAAGCTTTGACCCGCTAGTGTGGCTAAATGAAAAGTCAGGGGTCACCAAAGTCAGTAGGGCACAGTGAACAGCTGTGTAAAATATCTTGGCAATCTGATAGTTGTTGAAATTGTTTTGTCTTGAAAATATATTTCCATCCAAAACGGTGGCGCAACCAAGTAAAAGACAGACAGACATTCCCATTCCTTGAGCCACATCACCAACGTTAACAAGAAACAGCAGTTGTGATCTCAGTATAGCGCCCCCTACCGGGAAGGTCTCACCCATTAGCAGTCTTTGCATACTCTGATCTAGTGAATTAAAGAATTATCTTGAGCAGAAGTGAAAATGTCTGGGCCTGTGATCAAAAGACTGACAACAAAGGACAGTTGTCTGCTCTTTGATGTGAACAAATTGTCAGACCATGTATTTATGCAGTTTCATGTTCAGTGTAGAACAGATCTGTTTACATTTGTTTTGTTAACCTCTTGAGTAGTTCTTTGTTATTTACTGAGACAGTCAGTAGACTGATTATATTTACACAAAGTAATACATTGAACCATAACAACTACAATGAAAACTATGTAAAACTGGCACTTCACTGAATTCTGTGTGGTCTCTGAATAATCCAAACCCGCATCAGGAAAAGTCTGGTTAAGCATGATGGTGATGATGATCGGTGATGATAGGTGGAGTGTTTGCCTTTCCAACTTTTACTCCCACCTGTGTGCTATGCTCTGAACAATACTTAGCGTAAAGCCCCAGCAGCACCCACAGAAACATGGGGGCCATTATCACACATGACTGTGAGGAGGATTTAGACTTCAGAAGCTGGAGGGCAGTGAGTCATGGAAAACTCACACCAACCAGCTAACAGGTTGTCACACTACCACTTTAATGCTGGTCTATAAAGTTTTACTGTATTCGTGTGATGCATACACAAGAAACACTTGATTGTTGTCTTAATTACAACATTTTATAATTAAACATTAAGGCTTAATGAATGTAAATCTTTTTTTTTTTTTTTTTTATACTATGGGATTGCAATACCTGGAGTTAGAGCAATGTGCTGCCGGTTTTACATATTCCCACACTAGCTGTCAACCCAGGGCTGTAAATACCACTGTTTAATGTAAGAAAATAAGTGTAACATGTAATAATTATGTCATAATAAACGCATGTTTGTTTTAAAAACAACATTTTCTAACAAATTACAAAAACGGTGATGAAGAATGTTATGCATACTGATGTTAAATGTGGATATGTAAGACCAGTAAATGTCTTAATACAGAATATTAGGAGGTCGGTACTTACAGTACTGCTGATACCAAAACCACGGTGCTATTGAGGTGGAACAAAGTTAAATTTCCAAAAGAACACCCTGAACCTTTCTGCTGGCAATGGAAATTTTTCCCAAACCTCTCAATGCGGTTTGATGGTGTAGCACAACGTGACACATGACAATACTGGAAGAGGTCTATAACTTAACAGTTACGCACAACTATCACACTTTTATATCCTCATTTGTCATCTTATTTCACAAATAAGTCCACAAACCCATGTATCCAAATGTGTAACAAAAGTTATTATTATTATTATTAACTATCTAACAAATCAGGATCTTTTAGTCATGCGGCTCAATGGCTCTAAGATGCACCACTCAACAGCAGCTCTGGAGTCAGTTACACACAGAAAGAGAGGCTACTAGAATTACACTAGTAATGACACTACCCTAACGCAACCTGCAAGTAAGTGGTAAAACCAATAAAACACAAGTATGTAGTAGACCCTTTTATACAGCCTGCTTAAAGTGGGAATGTTGTGCCGTAATCCCACCTCGCCATTCTGTGCAAGATGTGAGAACACGGAATGGCAGAATCATTGTTCTGCTGTTACGCCGGCAAGGTACGTAGTCAAATAGACATCTGTGTAAAGTGGGGGGCCGCAAGGATGGGACACACAGTTGTCAAACTAGACGTCGACGCTGTTGTGTTACATGTCACGCCTCTTTTGCATCCGGAACGGCGACATCTAAAAATCACACAGCGTTATTTTTCAGACGTATATTGTACTTCAATAAATCAAATGTGTTTGTGTACCGGTGACCAACTCTCTAACATGAAAAACATAAAAGATGTGTTAAAACTAAGCTCAGGTGTGGTGAAGTGGATGAAAGATACCTATACCTATTCCACACCAACACAATGACGCAAACCAGCACCTCCTGTATGAAATGGGTATTAAAAATTCCGGATGTCACAGCAGTCCTAAAGTGCAGCAGAGAGAGAAGCACAGGTGAAGGTGGCTGCACAACAGGTCATTACCAACACCAAAACACCATGTGTCTGCTGATGTCTATGAACTTCAAAGTTACTTCACAACCAAATATGAAATAGTTAGAATTAGGAATTATGAGACTGTGTACAAAAATATATACATTTTATACACTGTTAATCTACTGTAACACTTTCAAATTAAGACTGAGAGTGTGCACTCCTTGTGTCAATATTACCTAGTGTGTTAGGAAATGGAAAACAGGCATTGTTATCCTTACATCATTACCTCACATATCTACTGCTTTGCTCCAACACTCTATGGTCCCTTTCAAGAACATATATAAATACCTTTAGAAAGTGGCAACAGACAGACATACCTCTCTCCACTGAAAACCCAAAGGAAAGTTAACAAGTTTAAGGGCCTGTCCTCAAGAATAAGTTTTCTCGAATCCGGATAAATACTTTATCGTATCGGCCTCGCGTCCAGACGGATACGGCGTTTTCGGGGAGTGAAAACGGTATTTTTCGGAAACGGGTCCCAGAGTGGGAAAATCCGAAAAGACCGGATTGCCCGGAGTCGTCTGGACTGCGAAAACGATTAGCCCCGCCTCTCTAGCCTTTAACCTCAGCCGCTGCCGCTAGACGCATCATAACAACAACAACAATGGCGGACTACTACTACTTGTTTGTAAACAGCGCATGCTCCATGGCTTCTCTTCCGGTTTTAGTGTATTGGGGTGGCGGCGTCACAGCGCCACATACAGGCCTGGCATATGTACTACAGCGTTTTGGGTCGTTTCAGTGAATCCGTGTGGACGCAGATATTTCTGGAAACTACGCCGTGTTTACGGAGATTTTTTTCGAAACGACATCGTATTGGGTGAGGCCGCGTATTTGTGAGGACAGGCCCTAAGATTGTCCTAAACTCTTACTCATGGTTGCCCTCTTTCAACGCCGCTTGTGACACAGGGTTAAAAGCACAGACACAAGCTGTGGCTTGTAGTGTACCAATGTGCAACTAAAATGTGTTTACATTTCTTTTTTGCCTTTCTTTGCATTTGGCATTTTAATTGGAAAACAATCCGGTTCTCACATAAAGGAAAGGAGAGGGTTAGGAACTATATGTTTTTTGACCAAAACTGCTGAGAGTTTAAGTCCTCTCTAGAGAGGACATGAGAGCCTTTGGTGAGCCATTATAAAATACCTTCGGTGTGATTTAAGGCAGGCGGCGTGCTGGTATGGCGGTTATGTCTTTCTCTGTAATCTACTTGTCAGTACACACTGTCAGCAGCCCTCAGCGAGCTGCATACCTGTTAATACAATCCCAACACCCGGGCCGGTAAAAAGACACACTGCCTTGTGACGTTACATCACTTCAGCCTCGACGCTTCACCCTCTGTGGCCTCACTGCAACGCCAGCATGGCCATCTTTCATGGGAACTGCACATGACCTCCCTCATGAAGATACTAAACAAAAAGGTTTCTGATCAAAATGTACATATTGTGCACCAGCTTAGTGAAAATACCGATAGCAGGTGTAGCAGCTTAATAACGCCCCCCTCCCTCTCCTCCCACACTGACACATTTTAAACAGCTGAGTACACAAGCCTATCTCTGCTGCTTTGATGAGCCTCCAGATCACATATTTACTTTTGATAACCTTTTCCCAGCTGGCTGCAGCACCCAGACGATGCGCAGACAATCAGAGGAAATCCACTAGAAGCCCCATAAGACAAGAAATAGGAAGCAATACGCCCTCTAAGCTGGTGCTTCATACACTGCCACTAGACTGCAGCAAGTCTGTTTACTCCTCATTTCCATCCTGTTAGTGACAGACCGCCCGAGGGGAGAACGTATTCATAAATACTTTTCCACATGAGAAGCAAGGTGAGAAGAAATGCACCGGGAAGCTTTAGCACAAGATCATTGTTGACAGATAAAACTCGTCTGGTTCACCTGAAAGACTGCGTCTGCAGCAGCAGAGCTGTACCTGGTTAACCCAAACCTACCAGCTGCCCTTTGGTCCCAACTGATACAGTAAACCAGCAGGAATGCTCAGAGTTTAGCCACACAAGGCACCTTTAGACAGCTCTACACCGGAGTGAGAATAAATGTAGGATTTCGATGGGAGAACCTCTCTGCTGCTCCCAGGTTTGTCCTGTGACCACTGGGGCTAACAGTAAACCCCATGACACACAGTTCACAAGCTCCTCACTCTTTCCAATCAACAGAACTTAGTCTGTTTTGCTTGCGAATGTACTTTGGCTTGTTCTATTTTAAAACCCAGACCCTGGTTCAAGCCCCCAACCCACCCCTCCCCAACATGTCATGATGAATGGGATGAATCAGAAAGCCTAGTTTACATTATAGCTGGAGACATGGAAAATTTTCAGATGGCCACACATAAAAAGAAATTGTGAATAAATATAGAAGCTTTAAATTCTTCAAATTTAAAAGGTTCACCAGCCGACAGAAGCTGTAGAGCTTCAATATGCTGCCATATAGTAGTTAGTCACTATGAGGTCCTGTTCCTTGCACTGAGCCACCTGTGCGGTACAAAACTGTCAAAACTGCAAAGAAGTATAGTTATACTTCAGAGAGTACAATCTAAAACCTCAGCCCTTTGGTGGATACCATACTTTGCCTGACGGGAGGATGTTGCTGCACCTGATCAACTGCTGCAGCAATCTGGTACTCATGAAAATATTTCCAAGGTCAAGGTATCCCAAGGTTTGTTTAGTAAAGGTGAATAAATTACTGTGTTCTGCCCAAAAAAAGCACAGCAACACCTTTAGACAAATAGATTTCAATGCTGTGGTTTCAGTCAATCTTAAGAATTGTTATTAAACTTTACAGCATTTTTTTTAAATTAACAGTCTGTTAAGGGCTGTGTTTTGTTCACTCAGTTTTGTTGCTGAAACTTTGGAAACACTGCTCACTTAAAAGGGCATTTATATGTTGTTGTTTTTTAAGTGGACCAGGTTGTAAAACCCTCACATCTTCACTTCACTGACAAACGCTACAAACTGAACTTTATTTGTGTTGAAAGGTCTAATCTATTAGTAAATACAGAGTTGATTTGTCAAGGCTCTTAGTACAAGCATCAACTGCTGACTTATGTTTGTACAAAGTTTGCACTACTTTTTCTTACTTCCGTATGAAAGTAATAATCAGACTATTGGATGTAGAGGAGCCCAAGCGCAACCAAACTCAATAACCTATCTTTGTGTTTCTCAAATCCTATTTCTGTTTGTGGTTCTCCGTTGAGATCACAGATACCTTCCACTTTTTGTTGATTCTAAATTCACCACACTGTGACTCAGAGTTGACAATGTGGTGTGTATATATAACTTGAGTGACTCTCTCCATTGGCTGAGTCATGGTAATGTATTTACCAACACACTTTAACTGACTCATTTTTTGCGGTGTGTTTTAAAACCAACTTTCTACAACTAGACTTTATACAAGCTATATCGCAGTATTCACCAAAACCACGGTAACTACACTTTTTGTTGCACTACTAACACTAATTTAAATGCTTTTTCCACTAGGATAAAATTATTTTCCCTCCATATAGCATTACACTGTGTAGTACACAATTTCCATGCAGGATGCTTTTTTTTAAATTAACATCTTTACTATCCTGTAGCCCCATAATATCACATTGTGACCATATTTCTTAACAATACCCTCCTCTTTCAGGCATTTTCTCTATAAATGCAGAGATGAAACGTGTTAATTGTCCAGAAAACTTTGTTGTCTCTGCAGTCTGCTTATAGACAATGTGTAAGTATAACATGGTGTTTTGACTGTAAACGAGCTGTATTGCAGCATGGACAAACCAATGTTTCCCCATGTGTAGTAGTGTGGAGTAGCGTTACTTACTCTCTGCGGTGGCGGGCCGGAGGCAGGACGACAGACCCAGCATCAGACCCCAAAACAAGGTCAAGCGGCTCCTTTCCATTCGAGACCTCATTACTGGATGAGTAAATCCTCCCAAATCCTGTAAATAAATATGTTGAGGGGAGGAAACGTGGGCAAAACCTTGTCAGAATTATTAAAGAGCTTTTTTAATCTCCAGCCAGCACCTTTTAGCTGTTAGCCGGCTAATGGAGCTAATAGCTACTACATACAGGCTAGCAGGATAGCGTTCTCACGTTTCCTAATGGGAGTCCGACCGTGCTCCAAAATCACCGATTTGTTCCTCTAGCCAGACAACAAGTATTCATAGTTTCACTGTTTATTCCTGCCGAAAAAAACGCCGTGCTGATGTGTGTAATGAAACAAATGCGGCTAAACTAGCGGCGGGGATTCCTCTGTAATCCGCATCTTCACTCTCCATATCTGGAGAGAAACGTTCACCGTCCCGCTGCTGGAGGATCCTCGGGAGGCAGAAAACGGGTCGACCCCCCTCTAAAATTAGGATGGAAACAGACGGTCGAGGACATACAGCGACATATTAAACTGACACACGGTCCCCTTGTGTGAACGACACGACGTTGGTTTCGAAATATCCAGGATAAAATCTGGTTTCAGACCGCAGCCTCCTTCTTCTCCTCCTCCTCCTCCTCCTCAGCCGTTCATCATGCGCACACACATACACATACACACACACACCGCGTTGTTGTGGTAGCTGTAATTCACCTTCAAATGAACGAACAATTCAGTATTTGGCCTTATTGCCCCAGGTCAGGTCAAGTCCTTTGGTGACCTAATGGCCTCCGTCGATAGATAGCTGAACAGGTAGCGTAGTTAGGCAGATTAATGCACAGGTACATACACAGTCTCCTTCGACCAGTCTGCAGTCTGCCCGTGTTCACTATAAACACGGCGCCGTGCGCAGAGATCGTCTCTGTCTCAGGAGATGAATCACTCGAGCCTCTGCTCCGCCTTCCAGTCTGTGGAAGTGGGCGTCGCTCTTACTGCAGTTTAGCCGCCATAGGAGAGCTTGTTACCATAGTGACTAGTCTGGTACTCATCACAAGAAGGTCAGTTTGATCTCCGTGTGTCGTTGTCAGGATACACTGTGAGCAATATTTACACCACCTAACGTTATCTTTACTTTATCGTTGTTGTTTGTAAGAGAGGGGCCATTGCACCACGCCATCTTTCCTTCTGCATTCACACCAGACACTTGATGGCAGGAGTTTTAGGACGGACCTTCGTTAATATACCGGTTGTCCAGAAAACTAAGGTTTAACGAGAGCATTGATTTGCGCACTTATTCGTAAAGGGCCAAATCATAACCATAACAGATTGATGTAATCTCCACAGAGTGAGACCTCGGCGCTTGCTTCTCCTCTCTGTTCACCGCCGTAGCGACTCCGTTTACGACGCGGCGCGAAGGAAATCCGGCATGCTGATCCAGGATCAGGGTTGTTTTGCTCCTCACGAATACACAGCAGAGGGCTGCCTATACAAAGATCCTGTCTGTCTGCACCACCTGAAATTACACTCTTAATCAATCTACGCAGTCACAGGTGTGTCTGTAGGGCATAGCGGTATAAGCCTGTCATTCATACATGTACAGATATCACTTGTGTCTTTATATGCCATTGCCTATATAAATTAACCTACAAGTGTCTTTATTATGTCTGCCTTACTGTTATCACGTGTGTTCGTAGTTTTAAAAATGTGATATGGTTTTAGACTGTATTCATATAATTTATATTATATTTCAACAAATTAATACAATCCAAAAAATCACATTGTTCTTAAGTCTCATGCCTAATAAAAATAAAAACACATTAAAAAAAAAGTTTACTCAAATAAAACCACTAGAGATATGGATTGTATGGATGATTTTGGGGCTCAGCCCCTCAAATACATCCCGTCCCATGTAGTTACGTTTTGTGGGTCTTGGTAGCAACTCATACAACAACACTGGCTCTGGGTTTCCTCTGAAAAGACACCGAAATGCTGCCATCTTGAGGCGAGTGGAACCAACTGCAGACCTCTAATCTACAGTAAAATAAAACACAAGAGTGAGGGGTTCAAACTTAAAACTACTGACTTGGTAATATTAAAATATGAATATAGTCATTTAAAGACATTGTTTAGAACATTAGTTTCTTTGCACATGTTGCTATCATCAAAGGTTGTCATCGATATTCACCCAGGGACGGTGTTGTCTTTGTCTGACCTATACAGCTAAAGAGGGATGTTTGTAAATGTTAACCTTGGCCTCGTATGGCCCATTGAGTTCCAAAAAAGCCACAAAACTAAGAATGAAAATAAAGTCATACTGTAGCCTTGATAGCTGGATAAATGTGGACACAGAACAGCAGATTTAGCAGCAGATTTGATTTTAAAACAACCCACGGTCACAGTAACTTTTACTTTGTTTGAGACACGGACAGGTACAGTTGCTGATCTTTTGAGGTCTGAGGCCCACATTTGGGAAGTGGTGGGCCAGCAGCTTGTGATGCTGTGAGAGAAGCAGACAGTAAACAAAACCGTCCATAGAAGAGCCCCTGACAGTTTTGATTATCCCTGTAATTACAGGCCGCTTTCATCACTTCACAGAGCAGAGCACAGAGGCATTATTTGAACGCTGCACATTACCTCAGCCCTGGCAGACAGCACTCGGCATCCGTCACAATCCAACAATTAGCACTGAGAGAAAAGAAAATGCACATTAAAAATGAAGTGAATATCAGTGGCCACCCAAGAGTCCAAATACAGTGAGTCACCCTCTAACAAGTGCTCACTGTACCAACATGACCTCTCTGTGCCAGAGAATGTTGTGCCTGTCCACTTGCATTTGTTAAGTCCCTATTAAAGTCCCCATGAAGGCAGCCGGCGGGCCCACCTACCTCGACTGTCCCGGTGGAATCCATTCTCGCACTGCACTCATGTGGAAATAAGCCTGTTTACCACCAACGGGTCACACATGCTAATGAGCGTCTGTTTGTTTTCCACTGTGCTCATGCAGGAGGAAGGGAATTTAGAGGGGAAATAATAGATGATATGCAGACAACAGCCCGGGTGGCTCTGCAGCACTAATGATGAAAAACGTAGAACAGAGAATTAATCAGAACAGGAAATGTGGTCTGACATTTTGATGTTGCTGGGTCTGTATCACAGTGCAGAATGTCGGCTGCCCTGGTTTGAAAGTGTAGTTGTGGCTCAATAAGTCACAGATGGACTGACATTAGAGAACAGAGCAATAAGCTTTGTTTGATGAACCTCCATCCGACAGGTAAGGTGTTATATTGTGTGGGGTTAGAAACTTGTCTACACCATAAATAAGTATCCTATGTGGTCCCATCAGTGGTCTTATATTGAGGACACAGCAATCAGTCTTCAGAAAAGTCATTTTGTATCTTCTGCCTTATTCAAATACAAAGGGAAATCATAGAAAAGCATATGCCCATTGTGTTAAGCATTGGTTTGTTTTTACAAATTCTTGTACTGTTGTAAATAGCACATACATGAATAGGCATAAACACAGGCATTAACTTTAGGGACGACTATCACACCATACAGGATATACTCCAAAAATTCTGTGCACCCATGAACAATCCATTAATGGTAAATTGTCTTTTAGAGGTAATAAATAGAAGAAAATGTACTTAATTAATGGTGAAAGTCTTTTTTCACACAAATAGGCCCAAAATACAATCACATACACACACAGGTCTTGTAGATGTTTCAATGTGGAGAGTGCTGCTCAAGGGCACATCAGTAGTCCCCAGGAAGTGAGCACTCCATAGTGTTTAACAGCCACCCTCTGGTTTCCAAGCCAAGTCCCTACGGACTGAGCTACTGCTGCCTGTATAATATGAGCATTTTTGACCAGCTAGTGTTTATTTAGAATACTTTCCTACTTCCCTCATCACCATTATTGAGTTGCTCTTGAGCAAGGTACTGACCCTTTAACCATTGTGGAGCTGCCCACTGGTCAACAGACATCAGTGCGGTTGTCCCCGAAAATGTCAGGTGTGAATGTTTGTAAAGCTGTAGAGCGGGACATTGATGAAAATTAAAGAACAAATAGCCACAAAAGTAGAAGAGAGGCCATATGTATGTATATAAAACTGTGGAATATCCAATAAACAATCATAAACTTATTGTTTTTGTTGTTTTGTACAGTATTGGTCATATAGTATATAAATACATAGGAATTTACGTCGCTGTTATTCATTTTAAATATGGCAGTAAGGTCTGGGTCAAGACCTCCTGCTAAGATGTGACTTACACACACAGAAGCAAGAAAAGCACAGGAGTTACTCACTAATAACATTACAGATGGATCTGTTCTGTTGAAGTGTCCCAGTGAGCTACGACCCAGAATGCTGTATGCACACTGTCAAAATGAAGCAACACACAGCACTCATTTTTGCTTTACAACTGTGATGTATGTTTAGCACCATTGCCTTACACCAAGGTCCAACAGTTAAAAGCTGACACTGCAGAATCTAAAGAGTCTGTATAGAATCAATAATAAGCATTACTGTTTGCCTGTCCGTATTGTTTCCCTGCCCAGCTGCCCCATGAACCCAATGACCCTGATTAGGGTTACATTCTTATTTGATTCATATACAATCCACTCTCACAGAAAACTGTAAATTTACTGCAAAACTTTATGATATGTGATTATTAAATGAATTATTATACTAGATTACATCATCAGTTACATCATAATGGATATTTTTGTTAGAATCCGTGAACCGTTAACAGGCTTGCCAGTTTGGTGTTCATAATGTTTGCTTTGTGGACACTGTCAGTGGTCAGTCACATGTATATATTGAGTTTTCTACGACCTTTCGCTGCTACATTACATCATTTTGCTTTTGATCAGCTCCAACTACTGTAAATCACGACAAAGAAAGGTGTGACATCACTGCTTTGAGATTTCGAGGCAAGCAGCCGACAAAGGTACAAAGGGTCCGGTAATTACTGTATGTGGTGCCTCAGTTGCTGGTGCATTAGTCACAAAGACTGCAACATTATGTAATGCAGTGGGAAAAAGTCTCAGAACTCCTGATGACACATGGGGAACGCAAAGAGAGAAACGTAAACCCTCATCAGTGTTCACAGGGGAATTGACTCCACACATATATAACTGCGAGTGTATTATATCTTAAGATGTCTAAAGTCTACAGATGTGTTTTGAGAGTTTGTGCAACAGTTTCTATATTCCAGGATGATAATTAGAGTGACTGTAATCCACAATGTATACATTTAGTTATATTCACATTCATCCAGCCACATTTGATCCTACTCATCATCTCTGAACCATGATTGTTCAGTTGTGTCTGACTCATTGTTAACCACAGTTTGTGTATATTACATTATATTACAACATGTATAAAAGACACGTTTCACTTCACATAGATTTACACATTTTAATGAAAGAATCAAGGCTCATGTTTCCATGAGTGCTTAATATGCATTAGTATCCAGTTTGGAGCCTTCTCCTTGTTGTTGTTGTTTTGTTCATTTAGGACGTTTTGCAGTATCTGATGATGGAGTCAGTGTTTACGTGCCTCAGACAGTATCCTGGGTTTTATTGGTCTTACCAAGTCCTCAAAACCAAGATATTATGTCTGCATGCGCAACAGATAGCCAAACTGGAAGCCTGATCATCACCACTCATCAGTAGGATAACCTACTGGTGCGCATGTAGACGAACTCAATGACCTGCCCGGAACAAACTATTGGACATGTTCGTTCACGGTCGAGTGCTTAATGTGGAGACACAACCGGATGTACACGGAAGAAGTCGTCCGGCAGCTGAGAGGCCGTGAAGCACTTCTAGCTAACGTCGTCAAAAAACTGTCAAAACCTTCATATTCCAACTCCTGCTTCACATTGTGATTCGACCACCCCACAGACTAAAGATGATTAAA